AGCCTTCCTCGTTTCCACTCGTCCGGGAAGATGCCAAATTTCAAGCATGCATTGTAACCTGTCAGTAAGTCTCCTTCTATCAGTTCGTAGGCTGCGTCTAAAATTGTCTTATTAATTCCGTCAATGCCTGGGGCCCTACCCTTCTTCATTCTTGCGATAACACACCTCAACTCAGACGTTTCGAAAGGGGCACTTGTCGTCTCACCCCTGTATTTATTCACCTTATTCCTTACTTCTCTTTGTTCTGGCGAATCATCTTCTTGATGATCCTGTTTAAAAAGTGAGTCTAAGATGTTTGAGGCTGCTTGCCAACAGTCTATTGCTTCGTTGGGGCCGAGCCTTATCGGTCCCAAGATGGGTAGATAGGGACACCCAGGAGAACACCCTCCGGCCGCCCCCGCTGTACCCTGCCCAAGGTATACCAGCGGTCTTGTCCTCTTTTCTTTATGCAGCCCTATCTACATTTTTTGTTCTCCATAACTAGGTAAATGATCACGGGTGTACGTTAGGTCTTTAGGAAAGTTGGTTTCTGATCTTCATTCTTTTCCTTAAAATGTTCCTCATTACGATCTTTACTTTCTGGAAGTTTCCTTTGGTCAGAATGGTATTGATGTTCCTGTTTCCTGATGCAGAGCCCAAGGTAAGTTCCATAAGGATGTCCGCAGATCTTCTTTCACTGTCAAAAATTGGACACCTTAGAAGTGTGTGATCCGCACTATCTTCTTCGCCACATTCGCAGTATGGTGAATCCTCCAACGCAAAACTGTATAACTTCTGCCGAAAATCCCCATGTCCGGTCAAGAACTGCGTTGAATAATAGTCACTGCGTAGCCATTTCATTTGCTGTCTCCGTTCAATATCACTGAGTAACTTGAATGTGTGTCTTCCTTTAGTACTACTTGTCCAGTCTGTTTGCCATTTATCCTTTAAGAATGCTTCAACCTCTCTTCTTCTTTCCAGTTTCTCTACTGATGATGTTGTTTCGCCGAACTCTTGGCCATCGATGACAAACTTCTCTCCTCTCTTTATGTAATATCGAGCATAGGCGTTCCATAGATCGTGATGGATGGGTGGTGCGTTTGCAAGAACCTGAAGTGCAACCGCCGAACATGTGTTATATCCTTTTAGTACCCTCAATAGGGCAGACCTTTGGGCACTAATAAGCTTTCTCTTGCCGCGGGCATTGAGTTTGTCTGCCCAGGCCGCGGCAGCGTAGGTAATGATGGGCACAAATAGGCTCTTATATAGAGTGGACATAGCTTGATGGTTAAGGCCCCATTCGGCTTTGGCGATACGGCCTAGGCAATTAAAATGATTTGCTGCTTTGCCTGTGATGTTCTTAATATGTTCCATCACGCCGAAACTCTTGGCAATGGTCAGACCTAGGTATTTAATCGTACTCTCCATTTTGATTGAATTGCCGTATAACTTTATCGTTGGCGGTCTGTTTACGCACATGGTTCCTTTAAGAAGCATTATAATAGTTTTGCTGGGCGAGAATTTTAACTTGTGTGCCTTAGCCCAATCCTCCAGTTCGCTCATAAGGTCAGCACCCTTTTGCTCCAGCTCTCTTCTACTGTTCCCTTTAAGCAGGACCACCTCGTCGTCTGCGTATGCGATGACCGGGTGTCCTAAGCGCTGTACAAGCCTCAAGTTCGAATCGAAGACGAGGTTCCAGAAGTCGGGCCCTAACAGGGAACCCTGCGGGCATCCACGCTGGACTTCCCTGGTGACATGCAAGTTGTTGTCAATGATGGTAACTTTACGGTCGCTTAGATAGTCACTGATTAGCCAATAAAGATTGAGTGGACAGTTTCTGTTAGCCAATTCCTTCAGGATGTTGGGCCACCAGAGATGATCGAATGCGCCGGCGATGTCAAAGAAAATACCAAGAACGTACTTTTCATCACTCTGTTCCACTATGTGTCTCAGTTTCAAAATAGCATCGGTTGTCGAGCGCCCTGTCCTGAACCCGTATTGGCACTCCTCAGTCCTGTCCTCCATTTCAGTTTTCAGTCGCAGTCGTATGAGACCCTCCAAAGCTTTCCCGAGGAGCGGGAGAAGGCATATGGGGCGGTAGGAGCTTGGATCGTTTCTCTGGCGCTCACCGGCTTTTAAAATGGTAATTAATTTCCCCTCTTTCCATTCCTTGGGGAAGATACCGAAATTTAAACAAGCGTTGTACCCTTTCAAGAGGTCATCTTCAACGGTTTCGTATGCCCTATCCAGGATGGTCTTAGTGATACCATCTTTTCCAGGAGCCTTCCCCCGTTTCATTTTATTAAGTACACACCTCAGTTCAGTGTCTGTGAAGGGGACACTGGCCGNTTTCTCTACTGATGATGTTGTTTCGCCGAACTCTTGGCCATCGATGACAAACTTCTCTCCTCTCTTTATGTAATATCGAGCATAGGCGTTCCATAGATCGTGATGGATGGGTGGTGCGTTTGCAAGAACCTGAAGTGCAACCGCCGAACATGTGTTATATCCTTTTAGTACCCTCAATAGGGCAGACCTTTGGGCACTAATAAGCTTTCTCTTGCCGCGGGCATTGAGTTTGTCTGCCCAGGCCGCGGCAGCGTAGGTAATGATGGGCACAAATAGGCTCTTATATAGAGTGGACATAGCTTGATGGTTAAGGCCCCATTCGGCTTTGGCGATACGGCCTAGGCAGTTAAAATGATTTGCTGCTTTGCCTGTGATGTTCTTAATATGTTCCATCACGCCGAAACTCTTGGCAATGGTCAGACCTAGGTATTTAATCGTACTCTCCATTTTGATTGAATTGCCGTATAACTTTATCGTTGGCGGTCTGTTTACGCACATGGTTCCTTTAAGAAGCATTATAATAGTTTTGCTGGGCGAGAATTTTAACTTGTGTGCCTTAGCCCAATCCTCCAGTTCGCTCATAAGGTCAGCACCCTTTTGCTCCAGCTCTCTTCTACTGTTCCCTTTAAGCAGGACCACCACGTCGTCTGCGTATGCGATGACCGGGTGTCCTAAGCGCTGTACAAGCCTCAAGTTCGAATCGAAGACGAGGTTCCAGAAGTCGGGCCCTAACAGGGAACCCTGCGGGCATCCACGCTGGACTTCCCTGGTGACATGCAAGTTGTTGTCAATGATGGTAACTTTACGGTCGCTTAGATAGTCACTGATTAGCCAATAAAGATTGAGTGGACAGTTTCTGTTAGCCAATTCCTTCAGGATGTTGGGCCACCAGAGATGATCGAATGCGCCGGCGATGTCAAAGAAAATACCAAGAACGTACTTTTCATCACTCTGTTCCACTATGTGTCTCAGTTTCAAAATAGCATCGGTTGTCGAGCGCCCTGTCCTGAACCCGTATTGGCACTCCTCAGTCCTGTCATCCATTTCAGTTTTCAGTCGCAGTCGTATGAGACCCTCCAAAGCTTTCCCGAGGAGCGGGAGAAGGCATATGGGGCGGTAGGAGCTTGGATCGTTTCTCTGGCGCTCACCGGCTTTTAAAATGGTAATTAATTTCCCCTCTTTCCATTCCTTGGGGAAGATACCGAAATTTAAACAAGCGTTGTACCCTTTCAAGAGGTCATCTTCAACGGTTTCGTATGCCCTATCCAGGATGGTCTTAGTGATACCATCTTTTCCAGGAGCTTTCCCCCGTTTCATTTTATTAAGTACACACCTCAGTTCCGTGTCTGTGAAGGGGACACTGGCTGTCTTGCCTCTGTAGGACTTGGTTTCTGTTCTAGTTTGTTGTTGATCCTCTGTTTCCTCTTCCTCGTCATCTGGTTTGAATAGTGAATCCAGGAGGTTAGAGGTAGCCTGGCTCCATTCAGTAGGATCCATCGTGCCTTTTCTGATAGGGCCCAGTATTTGGGTCTGTTTGATTTTGCCAGTGTGTATCTTATATGGCAGACCCCATGGGTTCGCTTGACAGGTTTCGGTGACATATTGACGCCAGCCTTTCAGTTTAGCATCCTTGACCGCTTTTTGGAATTGCCTTTTGATGTCATAATAGCTTCTTCTTAGACTCTCTCTGTTCTCTGTGTTACGCTCTCTCTGGTAGGACCTGCGGGCTCTATATGTCCTGACTTTTAGTGACTCAAGTCCACTGTTCCACCAATATTGACTTTGTGTAGTTGATTTGAGTTTTGGGATCGCAACATCAGAAGCCTTGAGTATGGCTTTTTGGATCGCATAACACTGCTTCACTGCATCCGTGCCGTTCTTTATATCGACAATTCGTCGTTTCGTAATTTCCGAATGAAGAATTTTCTTGAAAAGCATCCAATTGGCTTTTTTCGTATTATACTTTCCGATTTCCAGGCATGTATGCCTTTGACTAGTGGATGTAATCTCTAAACTGATTGCATTATGGTCACTGGACGACCAGTCCGTATGCACAGCCCAGTTGCTCACAAAAGGGAGAAGTTCTTGACTAGCCAATGTGATATCAATGTTCGAATCTCCTCGGCTTGAGGAGAAGGTACTTGCTTGTCCCGGAGTGTTGATGACTGTTAGGTTGTGAGCTGCCAACAGGGCCAGCAGTTTTTCCCCATTGCCATCAGTGCGGTCACTGCCCCAAGTGGGGGACTTAGCATTCCCATCCACGCAGACTAAAATCTTCTTATTTGGAAGTCTGCGGAGAGCCGTATCTAGTCTGTCTAGACCTTCTTCTATCGGAGAGCCAAATTGGAAATATGTGCTAATGATATAAAAGTCAAAATCGCCTTGATTAACTTGTGCACAGACACAGTGAGAACAATTCATTTGTGAAAGATCCAATATGGTGAGGCTGCTATTAAGTATTGTTAATCCTGCCCAGGGGGCATCATTCCCTTTGTTTCCTTGTATAAGCCTTGTTTTTATGTTGTATCCAGCAATTCTTCCCCGTATAGCATAGGGTTCTTGTAGAGCTAATATGTCCGCCGGGTATGTTGCCAGAACTTGCCTTATCTCAGATGGGACTATCTGTCCTCTGCCACCATTGACCTGAATGATTCGTATAACATTGCTAGCCATTATTCATATGTGATGGTATTAAGGTATTTCTCTATGGCTACCTTGTACGACGTACACTGTTTGCTATTTCTGCTGTGGTTATGTGGTTTACCTATCATTTTGCAGGCCGCACACTTTGCAGCCTCTTTTTTCCTAGGGCAATCCGAGAATTTGTGCCCTTCTTCTGTGCAATGCGAACAGGTATCCGCCGAGTCCCTGCAGAATTTTGCAACGTGTCCGAAGCTTTGGCACTTGAAGCAACGGCTAACGGCTATATAGTCTTTAACTTTGCAGCTATAGTAATCAATAAATAATCTTTCATGTCCCAGTAGCTTCAATCTGAGTTCCGGCGACACTTCCATTACCCAGTTGACTTGCTCGTCACGTCTTTTCCCAGTCTTAAATAGAGGTTTTAGCTCATGTTTCCTATCCTTACAGACAAAGATTTCTGGATTCATTGATTGAATGACTTCTGGTAATTCCCCGTCATCTATGTTTCGAGGTACGTCATATATTATGACACGTGGATTGCGTTTGTTTAATGGCTCTGTCTTGAGACCAATTTCTTTTAGCTTATTGTTTTGGAGGAGTCTACGTGCGTCCTCATCTGTTTCTACTTGAACCATTAGTCCTTTTGTACGGAGTTTACGTATCTGACGAAATCTTATGCCTTCCTTTCGTGGATCTATGGCATGTATAAACTTTGTTTTAATCTCGTCACTGTCCTTAGCGTCGCCCGGGGCCTCGGGCCGAACAAATAGGATTTTCTGCGGTCTTTTCTTTGGCGTGACCGCCTTACTTCCACTTGTCGGTGTGGCTTTTTTGGCCATTTCCGCATAGCTGTGCGTAAGTTGTGTTGAGTGATTTGAAATCGACAGTTCTGCTTGCTTTTCAAGCTTCCCTTGAAGCTTTTCATGCTCTGTTAAGAGCTCTACAACTAGATCTTGGAGGGCGCCCACATGTTCCAACACCTTTTCAGCAGCCCATTTTGTTATCTTGTTTTCTCGGTCCAGACAGGTGGCCTGAATTTCCGAGATAATGCCTCTAAGAGAAGTCATAACTTTGCTTCTAACACTTGCCGTTTCCGTAGCCTTCGGCTTACGTTTGCTAGCGGGAGGGGAGTTAAACGAACCATTCCCGCTGCTAGCACGTTTTCGACTACACATCTCAATAGTATCCATTTCTGGATCATCTTCGCTCTCAGAAGTGAGGGGCTCACATTGAACTCTTAGCACTTTTAAATCGTGTTTATCATTTTTGGACATTTTTCATATTGTTTTAGGAGTATAAACTCCGAGTCACCTTAGGCAATTTCGTCGATCTTCCATCACCTCTCCGTTTCAGACTGCAACGGCCTCCAGTCCAGCCCCCAGTGGCCTTGGCAAAGCCCCCCGCCGCATGCCGCAGGGCCCTCACCAGTCGCCAGCTGGCACTACGACATGCAGCGAGATTATGCACCCACTGATAGGGCAGCCAGCCCCATATGGCTAGAAGGAGCCGGGCCCCTGTACTATTGGGCGGCCTGGAAGTGCTGACCCAGTTTTTGAGCTGTACCCTCTGGGGGAGGACCTTCGACCCAGCCTGTCTCTTCAAAGCAACTTCCAATGCGGGTCCATTGTCTTCGGGAACCCGAAGCCGCCGCTGCACTGTTTAGTTTCACCCAGAAACGTCCTGGGCTACTCAGCCACCCCGCCACGACTAGGCAAGTGCATTCGACTTGTGGGGGATGAGACCCCACCCTTTGGGGTGGGGGTAGATAGGGACATTTTTCATTTTTTTCATTTTGTCGGAACGTCATCTCCCGAGTTGGGCCATTGAGGCCCGCTCGATCGATTGTTCCCTTTTGTTCGATCTCTACTTCGCTAGGCTTTGTAGAGATTTGTACATTTAAAATAGCAAATACAAATAGTAGTAATAATAATAGAATACATAATATATAGTCGCGACAATGTTATAATTAATATATACAAGCTCCGCGATACCGGAGCAGGATAAGGTCCAGATGGGGAGGGTGTCCCCGGCACTCAATACCGGTTCTCGTTGCCTACTTCTTTCTTCCTAATGCTGTTGTACCTGTTTATCAGTTTTTGGAGAGCTTCGTTCAGGCTTGCGTTGTTGATGATTGATGGTTTCGATGCTGGCTACTGAAGGCCTTCACAGCTGCACAGGTTCTGTAACTCTAGTCTGTCCTTTTCAGTCTTTATACATTCATAGAGTATGTGGTCCGGGTCTTCTGGCTTTCCACAGTCTTTACATAGGTCCGAGGGGACGTGACCATACTTAAAAAGGTAGGAGTTGAAGTCCCCGTGGTAACTGAGAAAGGTAGACGTTTTGTGGTTGACTTGTAGATGTTGCAATTGCAGCCGCTGATGGACGTCGGGGAGGAACGAGTACAGTCCCCTGCCCGTGGTGGAGGTGCTCCACCGTTCTTGCCACTTAACCAGGTATTGGGTTTGAATGATATGCTTTGCACTGGATCTCGACATGGCATTGTAGGTCGCAGCAATGTTTTGACTGCAGGCCTCTTTGGCGAGGGCGTCCGCCCTTTCGTTGCCTGTGATCCCAATATGTGCTTTGACCCAGCAGAAGGAGATGGAGATGTGAATGGGCACATTCCTCAGTTCCCTCCAAATACGCTGGATCAGTGGGCTTTTGTTATCGTAATCCTGAAGGGCCAGGAGAGCCGACTTGCTGTCGGTGCAAATCTGATACTGTGTTGGGAATAGCGTCTGCCTGACCCAGCGGACTGCTTTCCCAATGGCGATAAGTTCAGCCTGGTAATTACTACATACGCTATGGAGCCTCCATTGCTGACAGTAGATTTCGTGACATTTGTGGAAATACACGAATGCCGCCCCAGTACCTTGGGGTCCCTTCGACCCGTCAGTGTAGATACGCCTATCGGCCGTATCGTTGTGATCTTTGATATGGACCTTGGGGATGTCCCTGATGTGTAGGCGTTCGTCTGCTTTGACGAGCCTTTCAATATTGGTGTTATTGGTGTCGGCGTCCGCCGGCACCAAGTGCGGGTTGGTGTTGCTTGCTCTGAGAAGGGAGAGCTCCCTTCTCTGGTGTACTTCGAGGTCCATGGGTAGGACGCCTGATAGCACATGAAGAGCGTCGTTTGAAGTTGTCCTGTAGGCTTTTGTAAGCCTAAGGAGCATTTTGCGTTGCAAGGAGAGGAGCTTTCTCTGAATATGAGCATGGGAGGCGGCGTGCCCCCACGCCGCAGCTCCATAGGTCACCATGGGGACTACTGCCCCCAGGTAGATGGATCTGAGGGTCTCTCCCGAGATTCCCCAGTCCCGTTTGGCCACCTTGGCCCACCATGCGAAGAGATTGCCCACCTTGTCCCTCAGGTACTCGACATGTTGAGTCCAGCCGAGTTTGTTATCAATGATAATGCCTAAGTAACGAATGTTGTCTTCTATGTTGATCGGTGTGTTATTCATTTTAATGGTGGGTTCCCTTCTGTCTATCTTGTATTTGGTGAGGATGATTGCCGTTGTTTTTGCTGGGTTAAATTTTAGCTTATTATCTTTGCCCCATTCATTGATCTTGTCCAGGATACGATTCGTCTTTTCTTCCATTTTACTTCTACTATTTTCCTTTATGATTATGATAAGGTCGTCGGCATACGCCGTAACATGGGTCCCTTTTAGGAAGGTTTGCTTGAGAAGATCATCAATGATTATGCTCCAGTACAGGGGCCCTGAACAGGAACCCTGCGGGCAGCCCATAGTAACATCCTTACTGACGTTAGTCGTCCCATGACTAAGGACAGCACGTCTGTTGGTAAAGTAGTCGCAGATTAAGGCATAGAGGTTGGCTGGACATTTATTCTTTTCGAGCTTAGATAGTAGCAAAGGCCACCAGGCACTGTCAAAGGCCCCCTGGATGTCGAGGCTGATCGCCACGGTCCAGGAGGCGGTGTTACGGCTTTGGGTTAGGGCGCTGACCACCCTTTGGATTGCGTCTTCAGCGCTGTATCCCTCCCGGAATCCAAATTGCTTGTCATCCAGCGGGCATTTTTCCATCAGCCAGTCCGTCAACCTCCTTGTTATTAGTCTGTCAAGTAGTTTGCCCAGCAGGGGCAGCAGGCAAATCGGCCTGTAGCTTTTGGCCTGATCCCTGGGCTTGTCTTTGCCTTTATGAATTGGGATGACATTGGCTACTTTCCAGTTTCCTGGGAAGATGCCATGCCTGAGGCAGCAGTTACAAATGGAGTGCAGGAGCGTCGGGAGCCGCTGGTGTATGTTGTCTACCATTTCTTTGGTAACCCCGTCCAGTCCCGGCGCCTTGCCTCCTTTAAACTTCTTTAGGGCCCAGTTCACCTCTTCTATGGTGAATTCTGGCTGGTCTCTGCCCTCAGAGATGTACTTTAGGCTTCGTCTTATTAGGGCCTGTGTTGGGGTATCGTCTTGCTGTCTGTCGTTTTTGAAAAAGTCATCCAGGAGCACTTGCAGACAGTCTTTTAAGTTCTTAGAGTGCCAGCCCTGGTTATTTTTTATATCAACAAGTTGGGTCTTTTTCCTGAGCTTTCCCGTACCTATTTTGTACAGGATGCTCCAAGGATTTTGGGAACAGTTCGTGCAGAATTTCTGCCAGCTACTGATCTTGGCCTCTTTGATGTGGGCCTTGTACCTCTGTTGTTCATTCAGGTAATCTTCCCTTCTTATCTTGCGTGTGTGTTGGGTCTCTGCTTTGCTGATAACGTCTGCGCTTGGCGTTCAGTTTGCTCTTGTGGGTTTGCAAACTGTTGTTCCACCATTTGACAATTCTGTCTTTCTTTCCGTATTTTGGAATATGTTTGTTGATGGAGTTTACTAGGGTGTTGTGAAACTCGAAGAGGATGTTCGTTGCTTGCTGTGAATTGGAGATTTCACTGAAGTCGTACACTTTTAGATTGTTGCAGATCCTGTTCCAGTCTGCCAGACGAAGGTTGAATTTATCAATGTTAACATCTCTCTGGACACCAGATATTTTGTACCTGATATACCTGTGATCCGAGAGAGTGACCGTGTCTGCCACCTCCCAGTCGGTAATGTCCCTGAGGGCTAAGTGGTTACAAATACTGATGTCCACGTTTGAAGTGCCGTTAGTGCTTTCGAACGTTGGCAGGTTGCCTGGTTCGTTGAGGACATATAATTCTTTTTCGTTTAGGAAGGCCTCTATGAGGTCCCCCCGATCATCCGTCTCGTCCTCATACCAGAGGTATGCATGGGCGTTCACATCACCACCGATGATTATACGGTGGGTGTCCCTGTAGGCGTCCACCACCGGCTCGACCATGGCGAGTGCATCAGCCATGTCGGCATCCATAGGGATGTAAAGACTACCCACGATCCAATGGTGGGCACCACCAGTGATCTCCACAAAAGTTTGGTGTTTACCGCTGTACTTGGTGAGTAACAGACAGCTGATGTTCTCATTTAGCAAGCCTATCATAGTCCAAGGGACTTCGCCCGGACAGTAAAAGGCTTGCCGCATATTCCTAGGCCAACCAAATGGGATGTTCTCCCTTTGATATGGCTCTTGGATTAGCAGTAAGTCAACACCACTGGTAGAGTTGGCTACCAGCTGCGAGACCGCCGCAATCCCCCTACCGAGATTCACCTGCAGGATGTTCAGGCAGAGGTTTGTAAATTGCTGGCTGCAGTTTTTAGTATTGGGCGTGTTATCCATAGTTTGTTCTGGATATTATATTTTTAACAACTTTTATTCGTTCGGTACAGGAACTGTGATTTGCTTTATGCGCAAAGTTGGGAGCTTTGGTGCGAATGCAATTAATGCAACTGGGGGCGGTGCTTTTGTTTTTGCATTCTGAGTACCTATGGTCTCCCCCACAGTGATTGCAGAATGCCCGTTCGCTTTTGCACTCACGGGCAAAATGTCCGTATCTGCAACAGCGATAACACTGTATGATGCTAAAATGTTCCTCGACATTACATCGCACCCATTCTATGTTGACTTTTTTCAGTTTTGTCAAGATATGTTTTAGCTTAGGGGCCACCTCACAAACCCAGTGGTTGACTTCCTTCTTTTTTCCCCACTTAAATTTTATGTTTATTTCCTGCTTGAACGTTTCCCGACTACCTTCGTAGTGGTCTGCAATGCTACAGTTTTGCTCGTACAGAGCATCTAGTATTGCTTCTTTGTCTAAAGTGGCTGGAACATTATAGATAGCCACCTTGGGTTGAGTTTTCTTTGGCTCCCTAGCTGTGAGGTTGGTTAGTTTCTGCACCTCAGTTATAAGGTTGCTTTC